CGTTAGCGATCCGTAATGGTGCAATGGTTGGCGATCAATTTGAAATACCCCCCGATATCTACATACCCATAAACATATAGCCATACTCCCCCGAAAGAATCGAATAACGCGAATTTCATCGCATGATAAATGACGGACTTCCGCTGCACTCGCTGCCAGGCGAAAGGATCGACTCTCCTTTCCAGCTTATTGTTTGTCATATTCAAATGCCAAAATATTGTCATTATCTGACGGTTGTTTTCCTTTTTCCTCCTTTTTTTTTGCTGGTTGGCCATTGTTCGGGATCATTTGTCTTTGGCATTGGACCACTCGCAGGGTGGCCTCCACTGCGTTTTCATATCTTCTGGCTAATGCATTTCTTGCTGACCACTTGGCCAGTAAGCCTGCCAGTCAGTCAGTCAGTTGCAAGGTTGTTGTTGCATTTCAATTAGGCGGTTGCTTTGGCTTTCGGGCTTGTTACCAAACAGCCGTGGCTCTGGCGTCTTGACCCACGGTTCAAATTAATAATTGTTTTCTCCTCACACTCCATACGACGGACACCTCAATGACATTTCCATACACCCATATACTGTACAAAAAATATAAAAATAATGTTCGTTAGGTGTAGCCCATGTTTGTGCCGGCTATTAAGCATTAATAAGCACAAAATAATGTTAATAATGTCATCATTGAGCCACACAGACCCACCGTCGAGGTGAAAACCAGTGTCGCCAGCTGTACATGGGGGATTTCTTGTCTTGTAGTATTTTTTTCTATTATTTTTTTTGGGTAATAAACAGCAATCCTGCCTGTTAACCATCAGCATGCATTTATTCATAAAAACTTATAATAATATATTTATGGCCATTTGGTTGCCAATAAACGAGGGGTTTAATGGTGCAATTACATCCGGGGACCCACCGCCAAGGAAAAATAGGCGCCGCCAAGGAAAAAGTGTGAGATTTTTTAAAGATATTGAGGTACTATCGAGGTGCTTACAGAAGATATAGAAAAGAGTCACGAAGTTTGCCGTCAACCCATTTTGAAACCCAATTAATGCCTCCAAAATAAAATGGCTTACCGGATAGAAACTGTTACCAACGCCCCAGAATTCAATATCTAGTACAGTAGTTGCTCAAAATACCTCACTCGTCATTCAACTGGCCATATTCCGAGCCATTGATGGCCTCACTTCCAACTCGCTGACGGCGCCCGTGTTGACCAACTCAATTAGCTGGGCATTGAGAGCAGTTAGCAGCTAAAAAGGTGCAAATCGCCGGCCAAACAAAGGCGCAAGCAGCTGAGCAATTAGCAGGCAGCAAATTGAACCCGCTCACGGTCCGAGAAGACCATAGAATAATGTACATACCTCTAACGAAAGACAATCAATTACAATGGGTTAACAATGCTCTGCGGATCAAATATTTGGCCAGATCTAAGCGCCAGGGGTTAAGGGTACTACTAAGCCTAAAGGTATATATACTCGGACATATATATGCACATACGTAAGCCGATCAAATGCGTTGAGTCAACACTGTATTGACGTCTCGAGTTGAAGGAGAGTATGATGATGATGATGATGATGCTGAAGCTGAAGCTGAAGCTGATGCCGCCTCAAACTCGACTCAGTGGAAAAAAAACTAAGCTGGAAAGCAGGCAACCTCACTCCCTGGCAGGCAGCTCCTCTGCTTTGCTGGCCATGTTGTTGGCGTTGACTTCTGCTGAAAATCCAAGCCAAGTGCCGGGCATTTGAATGTTTGTTTAGGCTGGAGCTGAAACTTGGCAGCCCATAATGTGAGATACTCATGAGATACTCCTCATGCCATTGGTAGCGCCGCAGACTACGGAGCTCTCTGCAGCTCTGAACCTAGAGCTGGAGCTGGAGTTGGAGTTGGAGCTGGAGCGCCTGTCTGTTGGCCATAATTGAGTGCACTTTCCACGGAACTCTGGCAGCAGCAGCGACAGCGATTATGAAATGCCTGGCAACTTGGCCCGCTGACAACTCTGACGTCTCTCTGGCAAATGGCGAACATCAGGGGCTCGTAATCGTAATGGTAATAGTAATAGTAATCGTAATTCGTAATCGTAACGTTGCGTTTAAGTACTCGGCTCCGCCAAAGGGTACACACTCCTCCAATAGTATTCCCTATTTCATATGCTCCGCCTGGGATCTCGTAAATCAATTGATAAAGCGAAGCGGAAACAAGTGGCAGCTCCAATTGCCCGGTACTGGGCGAAATAAATCTGCCTTCTCCTGCAATTTCCATTTCCATTCGACTTTTACTGGATGCCCCCTCACCAACATCCCACATCGAAGCAATTAAGGCGACAAAACTGCAAAGAGCACCACCCAAAAAGTGCAATTAGCGATCTGGTATAGTTCTATATAGGAGGGGGATATATGCTCTAGATGGGGGATGTGGTTTGTTTAGGCTCTTTGGCCTCTATAGAGGGGGTGGCAGACACGTGTCCGAGGTCTCGAAATCAAAGGGGAATCTCCAGACACCCCAGCATCTTGAGAGGCGCCAGTGCACAGTGAGAAAATAAAGGGGTTTTTGCTTAAAAGAAACTATAGAATATCTAAAATGATATAATGAATAAGTGCCTTTAACAAAGATTTCTAGTAACTCTCTATCTTTCTCCTACCTATTTCTTTCTGTGTAGATTTTGTAGTTTGTATTTTGTATTTTGCATTTGTAGTCAACGTCAAAGGAGCATAAATCACAGAGTGTACCGGGGATCGGTTTAAGAGGACTGGGGGGATGCTGCGCCCACACAGACGACTGACTTATGGAGCTGGCATATGTGTTTTTGTGGCTTTTTAATAGCTCGCTCGATGGATCGCATCGTCGCTCCCCCAAAAACTCCATCCTTATAACATACATATATGTGTGGCATCCCCTCTGTTTCCATCCTCGGAGTCAAACTAAATACCCCATACATTGTATGCGCAATTGAAATTCCATTCTTTGAGCTGTCTGAAAGTGAAATTTAGTGTGTCACTTGGCAATTTCTGCTAATTAGAAGTGTTGAAAGTGTTTGCTTTGATATCAAAAAAATAAATAAAATAAAAATACCCATATCTATCGTCTTGTGACTAAACTGAGAATCAATAATTTGCATCTAGTTGACATTTGGTGACCTCGTCGTGCTTTTGATGATATCTCTATAATTCCTATTAGCAATCGATTGATGTGGGTATATAATTTTTCATCGTTTTGTTGGCCCAACTATTAGACAGCAAATTACCAACACATTGCACACGCCAAGTGGTTCGGGTAATCAATTACAGGTGACCCCGACGCTACAAAATGGTTAGGAGGTATGGGTATGGTATGAAGTCGGTCGTGTGAGCCACATAACAAGCCAATCGATGAATCAATACAGTTATTGAAAGTGAATCATTATAATTATATAGGAGATACCAGCACGAGTTGGCTTTAAAGGGATAGGAGAGCTTTTTATTAAAGAGGTCTATCTAATTTTTAGACTCCTCTGATTCAGCTTACTATTTCCTGATTCCCTTTCAATTGTAAGAGTATCTAATAAAATTAAACCCATTGGATTTCCGTTTCCATTTAATTCAATTTGCAGATACAGATACTGTGGCACAAACAAACCGACAGATAGTCAGACAGATGGCGAGACAGATTGCGGCTGCGAATAATGTTTGTATGTCTGTTGGTTTATTTGTCTGTTTGTTTGTATTGCTAATGGGCAAATTGTCTAATTGGTTCATTACGTGCCCAAATGGATTTGCGCCTCTATAATATGGCCGATTTGAATCCGCCTTGGCGAGGCAACTCCGCGAGGCATGCGAACGGATTTGAACCTCAAGCGGTGCAATTAGCGATTTGGCATCAATTCATATTCGTTTTTAATACGATGGCAGCTAAAGGCAGGCATGTAGGCAGTTGCTGATCAAATGCGGCAAACACATCAACGCTTGCCAGTAAATGTCAGCTGCCCATCTCCCCCATGCCCCAATGCCCCCATGCATCTATGCATTTTGCATTTATTTTCAGCAAATTAACGCCGCTCGCCGCAAGATCTGTGCCAATAAATCATTTGATGCCGAGTCTCGGCTGACTGCTCCCTGCCGTTTTCTGTCTCGTCACAAACAGATATTTGTTTATAAAATCGCACACATCGCACACATAGTAGTAGTGTGTGCAGATTTGCTTTTAATTAAACGGGGAACGGAATCGAAGACCAAAGTTGTTGCCGTCACTCATTCTGAATCGGATTCTGATTGTGCAATTAGCGGTTGCTGTTGCACCCTCGCCCTCGGTGACAAGACTTACATGATTTAAAGTTCCCAATCCTTTGAAGTGACAAAAAAGGATCTGGGTGGCCTGGTTGAACCAACAAATAAAACCACATTATCATTTTATATTCATTTTTTTCATAATTCTTTTTATTTCTTTTTTTTTTTTTATTTTTTTTCTTATTTTTTTGAACTTTGCTTTAGCACATGGATTTCGGTATCTTTTCTTAGGTGCATTCATCAGCTATTAGTGGCTCGTTAACATTTCGCTTAAGGACTAAAAATACTCGTTCATAGCAATCCTTAGGGACTTAAACTATTATTTAAGCTAGGGAACCGTTAAGTTACTTAATTTACAAACTTTGTAATTTGCAGAGACGACATTTTAACATTAAATACTAGATACTTTTCTTGTGTGTGTTTGTAGGAATTAACGTCTGAAAGTTGAAGCTATTTTTTGCGAGTGCAGCGACAAGCTTTGAAGAATGCGAATTATTTTTTTTTTGAGGGTGTTTGGAGATAATAATAGCATAATACTTTCGGCTATTTATGGGTGTGGTTAAATAAATATTCATACATACATTATATAGTATAAGCCAACAACTTACAGCTCGAATTCGCTACGGATACATGTATCTTACGGATAAGCTAAGGTTACATACATATTTACAAAATACATACAGACAAACTCCGTATGCACTACAATTATATCACATGAAAAACCATTTTGTACGCCTCTGCCCTTTGTCCTCTGACCTCGATTATTGCACGACCCCGTTTAAGTAGGAGGAGGCATCCCCCCATATAGTATTAGTTTCTTTAGGGGATCTGGCCATTCATGCGCATCTCAAGCTCCTCCTCCTCTTTGGTCAGCGGCACGGTGGTGTGATTGTACAATCCCTGGGCCATCAGCTGGAGGGCCAGTGGATTCTTGGATCCGGTGGACTTCTTGATCTTGGCCCGCTTGTTCTGGAACCAGATCTTGATCTGGGCCTCGTTCAGGCCCAGCTCGGAGCTCAGTTGCTGGCGTCGGCGCTCGGTCAGATAGCGATTCTCGTTGAACTCCCGCTGTAAATAGAAGAGGATGGAATTCCGGATGAGTTTCGGATGGAATATATAGCACCCCAGGTAGGTAAGGAAAATCAATTATTTGCGGTTGCGGGCTGGGCGTGTCTAATTGGTTAAGTACGGACAGGAGACAGGATACCCGCACAGCAGGCCAGCGATCCTGGCAAATGTGTGTAAATATTTTGGTGCAAATATGACACAACAGGATGGGAATAGGATGCGGATTGGACATATTTATGGATGCTTACCTTGAGGCGGGCCAATTGTTCGCTGGAGAAGGCGGTGCGTGGTCGCTTCTCGTCGTTGGTCTTGTCCTTTGGCTGTTTGGGGCGGCGGTAGCGAGGTCCTGCAACACGAAACCAAAAGAAATACACAAGTTAGTCTGGCGGTTCTATTTGCATAATGCTTCCTCCACATACTATTAATAATATTAATGATTTAATTAGCATATGTCTGGGCGGAATTCCATTCTTTTCATTTCTTTCGCGTGCTGCCTGGCTGGCTGGCCGGGGAAGTGTTCAATTTGTCAGCTGTCAACGGCGGAAAGAAGTCTAACGAAGCAGAGGGCATATTTTAGGCAAATTCTAGAGGGCCCTCTAATTAGCGAGTTAGTTCTATTCTCTAAGCCCTATTAGATTTCCACACATTGTAAATTCTAATTTAATTAACTGCCAGAGTGGTGGCAAGTAAGTGGAAATCGTTTTGATTAATTTCTAATACTAGAGTGGGTACTGGAACTCATACTCATATAATCTTTGTGGAGCTATCAACGCCTCGATTATGGGGCTGCCAATCGATTGCATCGACACCAAATTAAAAAACCATTGCCAGCCATAAAAAAACACTTAACTCGTCAATTAACACACCGTCTAAGAGGAGAAAACTCTGGGAAATGGGGATCGAGTTTTTCTTCAACTCGATTTTCCCCCCCTTACACCATCCATTTTCTTTCATTCCCGGCGTCAATCGTCAGCCTGTTTTAGGGCTTCTGCTTGGCGTGTGTGCGTGACTGGTGACCTTCGACCCAACGATCACAGCAGTTGAAGAAAAAAATGAAAAAGGAACTCCCACTCTTCCTACTTCGTTCTCCTTGTCGGCGATAACGCAAATGCTGCCTGTGCGCTACATGTTGTCACATAAAGTGTCGCTCTTCAAAAGGAGCGCAGCACTGCGTGAGGCCCGGAATATATTAGAACAGTAGACCCCGACTCCGATACCGACCCCGATCCCGGAATGGAGTCGAAATAGGAGTCAGCTTCATTGCCATTGTCCGCGTGTCTCCTAATTGTTGCAGTGTCCTTCGGATTTATGACACAAAACAGAGTCATTTCAAAAGACTGCCGCCGCTATTACGTCCCCAAGGGTGGTCTCCCCCGTAAACTGATCTGACTTTTTCCCATTTTTTTTTTTTAAGTTTTTCCAAAAATATTAAAAGAGTACTAACCTGAGCTGGGACGATCGCTGTAGCGGGTGCAGTAGACCCAGGCGGGCCACATCTCGTTCTTGCCACCTTCGGTGGTGGTGGATCCCGTCTCCGAGCGTGTATCATCCGAGGACTCCATCCCGGAGTCCCGGCTTACGGCGGAGGGCGGTGGAATCGGCTGGGGCTGGGGACTGCTGGCATTGGCCACGGATGAGGCAGCTCCCAGGCGACTGCTGGGCGAGGAGTTCAGCGAACTGGATGCCGAGGAGCAGCCGGAGGATGAGGAACTTGAACTGGTGGCCGTCGAGGAACTCGAGCTGCTGATGGTGGAGGCGTTGGAGGCGGGTGGTGGGCTGGCCAGGCTGCTGGCACTGCTCAGCGGTGGCTGGGTCATGGTCGGCACAGCCGGCTGACCGATCTGGGAGACAGCCTTGCACAGGGAGCCCAGAGCCGACTTCTCCGGGTTGGGTTCGCTCATCTTGGTCGGTGGCGGGATCACCGCGTTGCCGGCACTCCGGCGCAGACGGCTCTGGACGAGCTCCTCGTGGATCCTGGGATAGGCCACCGGATTGAAGCAGTTCAGGAAGTTGGCCCGCTCGATCATCATGGCTGCCGTGGCGGCTGCGGCGGCGGCCTGCTGCTGGCGACTGAACTCCAAGAGATCCACACGCGTGAAGGCGGAGGGCGTGGCCGCCTGGGAACGGTTGGCCGCCTCGAAGGGCCGGAAAATACTGGCCTGGTTGTCGGGCTGCTTGCCCTGCTTCTGGGCATCGCCGAAGCGATCCGACAGGATGTTGGAAATGGAGAAGGCCAGCGAGGGCTTGGCCGTCGACTGTTGCTGGTGGGCAGGCGGGGGCAGTCGGCCGGTGGAGGAGGTGTCATCCACGTCCACGTCGATGTCGTCCTCCTCCTCGACGTCCTCCTCGTCGTTGGTGGTGTGCGTTTGGTTGTGGAAACTGCCGTCGCCCATCACGGAGTCGTTCTCCTCCTCCTTGATGGTGAGCGGGGTGGAGGATGCCGGCGTGGAGCAGGATGCGGGAGAACCGCTACCGCTTAGCCTTTGCTGCAGTGCAGCGGCATGGGCATGGGCGGCAGCTGCTGCAGCGGCGGCGGCTGCAGCGGCCGCTGCTGCGGTATCGAAAGCCACCGCCGGATGGTGGAACACACCGGCGGCTAGCTGCTGCTGGTGGAGCTGCTGCAGTTGCTGCAACTGGTGCAGGTGCTGCATCTGCTGCTGTTGCTGGTGGATGTGGCTCATGTCGAGGGCGGAGATCGTAATGGGAATGGAGCTGACAACGGGCGGACTGGGCGCTGACTGTGGACTGCAGCGATCCTCCAATGCCATTTACACAAAAAAAACACTTGTTCTTCACTTCACTTGTACTTGTACTTGTACCGGGGGAGATGTTTTTGATTTTTCAGATTTTTGTCGCACTGATTTTGTAGACTCTGAGATTTCTCTTCGAGACTCGTCTTCGCTTCTTGTTTGTTCTTCGGTTTTCCGCGCACGTCTGATCACGTCCGTTCACGGCGAGGGCTAAATTAGTTGTTACTTGACGTTCGAATCGCAGCCCCGACCTCGAGACGAGTTGACGTCGGAACACGAAGCTGCAGCGCCGGAGCGGACCCAGGCGACCCGATTGAACTGTCAGCCAGAGCGAGAGGCAGCTAGCCGAGTCTGGCTTACGAGAGGCTGTGGGTCAGAGCGGGAGAGCAACAGGCCTCGAAGTGGGTGCGTGTGTGCGTCTGAGTGAGTGAGTGACAGCCTTTGTCACCTGCGCTCCTCGAACCGGTTCCGCCGACTCGCTCACTCCGCCTTCCAGGGGCTCTCTCGCCCTCGGCCTCCCCACATATTGCAGGGGGGCTTGTTAGGCGGCGATATGACTTTATTATGCGCGCGCTGGAGCTGTCATGCGGTTGACAACTGTGTCGCTGGTCTCTGCGCCTGCGCCACTCTCTCGCTCTCTTCGGCGGGGCGGTGCCCAGCACAGTCGCTCTATCCGCCCCACTCGCACTCATGGCGGCTAAGCCAGGAAAATGGCTGCCTGCCGGCGAAGGGGGAGCACACTCACTCCTTCCTGTTCCTGATATAGCCGTCTCTTGCTGCTCATAAGTATTTAGTTTTTGTTGATTTTGTTTTTGGCCGCGACGTTTCAATCTTCGCTTCCACACGGCCTACAACTTTATCGACACCAGGTCCCCGTGGAAAGGCCAAGGGATGAGCCGCGAGGGGGAGGGGATGATCAGCCGTCCGAATAACCGCAAATCAAGCGTCAGCCACTAATTGTTATAATTTGAATTGAAAGCCCAGTGTAGACCCCATCTGAAAATTTTTGGTCACCCATACTTTTGGGGAAGGGGAAATGATTTTGTTATTTTTCACAAAAACACGCTAAAACCCCGATGACAATTATTTTTGCACCCAAGTTGTCCCGCCAATTAAACGGTTAAATGTGGCATGAGAGCAATGCTGACGCAATGCGGCAATTGATTGATATTTAATTGATTTTTAATTTATTTATTTGCCCATCGAATATCAATTTACCAGCCAGCCAGCCAGCAAGCCATCCCGAACGTAAGCCACCGTAAAGCCTTTCGATCTCCAACCACTGAAAATGCCATAAAAAACCATCGCTAACTGTCAAAATAAACTTGGGAAGGTGTTAAAAATGAATGCCATTTGGCATTGGACATCAACAATAGAGCTTTTGGGCCCTAATCACACGCTGGATCTACAAATGTGAAACATGTGCTGCAAACAACACCCGAGATGAGTTGGGAATTGAGAATTCGATGAGTTGGGAATTGAGAATTCGAACATATAGCCACTGATATATGGCACATAAATCACCGAATCTGTTCGAGATGAATAAAATAAAAATCAAATACCATAGTCGCTAATGAATTGCCTTTGGCTTATGGCCACGATTCGATTTCGATACTGGAATGTGTTTGTTTTGTTTATTTTTGCATAATAATGGCCGTGTGGGCTTTAGCTTCTGATTTATCGAGCAAAGGATTTAATTAGAGAGTAATCTTGGCACTGCTCCCACCCATTTCCTGTTTGCCAATTGCCATATTTCCGAGTTGGCCGAGTGGCATCATCAGTGGCGCACCAATAAACTAACGCCCAGACAATGGCCCATAATCCATATTTAGAGCACATTTCGTTCGAACCTGTTCGCCAATCAATGGGCCAAAATTTATGCAATTTTTATGCGCATTTTTATTCGATTCGAATGGACTTGAATCGAATATAAATTAATATTTTAACAGCATATGCTCTGGCTAATTAAAATGCCACTGAGCTGGCTTAACCGTTTCGTTTTCGGCCTTAACCGTTTTCGAAGTTCCAAGCCACCTTCCAGCTGCGGTCAGCCATTAAAAGTCGAACTCGGGAAAACTGGAAACTGGAAATGAGTGTGGGCTCTCTCTCTCTCTCTGTTTCGCTTTCCATTTCCCCTTCGAAATTCGAACTCAAGCAAAGATGGCTGTCCCACTCGCACAATCTTGCCCTCTCTGTCGCTGCTCTGCTCTCTCACGCATGAAAACAATGGCTGCTGCCTCTATCTCTCTCGACGGCATTGTTGTTGCCGTCGGCAGCTGTTGATTTTTCCGCTCAAACCATTGCCCTTCCACCCCATTCGTCACCCCACCCCCTCGACACTTGGGCCCCCCCTGAGCAACCACCCTGTTCCACTTTCCGCTTTGATTGCCATGATTTTCAATTATTACCGTTGTCATGTTTGCTCAGCATTTGGCCACAAAGGGGTTAAACAACCGCCGACAGTTGCGTAAAAATGCGTTAATTAAAGTTTTCAACTTGTTTCTTTTGTAGCTTGTTGCTTGTTGTTGTTGTTATTCTTCAGCAATCAGCAACAGCAACAACAACAACCACGACAACTGCTGCTGCTGCTGCTTTCGAGTTTGCCCTTAATGATAATGATGCGTATGTTTGGATAAAATGGTAACTGCTAATGAGCTTTACCTTTCCACCACTTTGGCTACTGTTTCTATTTCGGTTTTTTCGATTACTTTTTCGCCTCTAATGGTTTTTTCCTAACTTTGCTTCGGGCGAAAACAAAAGACTTAAGCAACGAACTTGACAGAGTGCCAAAACACTTCAGAACTTTGAGAGTTTGGAAAACTTGTTGATGGAAATTTATAACTGTTATCTTTTTTAAATTAGTCTTAAGTATGTATGTATCTGTTTTTAAGTAAAAATTTAATTAATTTTATTAGCATGAATTTTTAAATAAATAATAAATTCCAAATAAATTCTTTAAATGCCTCCGTATACTTTCCAAAAATGTTGATTCTTATTTTAGAAAGTTCGATATCATTATTCCCCTTCTTCCAATTACAAAAATTGGTCTTCCATAAGCGACTTAATTACAAAGGGGCTACAACTTAATTGAAAAACTGGATTCGAAATTAAAACTGGAACATTAACTGGTCTTGAATTGAATAAACGCATTGCAGGGCTCCTCCAGCTTAATAATCATTTTTCCCGAGTTCACAGCTTGCTTTCCCACTCGCCCGTTCCCAAATCAAGCTTCGAATTGAAAACTGGATCTGGAAACCGAAAAAAATACAAAAAAATGGGGGAAAAAAACTGGGAACTGAGGCTGGGTAATTTAAAATTCATATTTTACGCAGCCAAATGCGTAAATCCGTACGCTGCGCTGAGTGCCGGCGAGTGGCGGTCGAGAGTTATTAATGGCTACACATGCGAGTCATAATATACTCGTACACACACACGAAAAAAAAAGTGAGCATTCCCCCGATCTTCCCCATACTTGCGGCCGTCCGTCTGTCATTTGCATACCCTACAATCCCGGCGAGGTGGATCGCCTTCCGAGAACTATTTGGATATAGAGTTACACGATCCAGGGTCTACACAAATAGATGAAGCGATAGGCCGAAAGTAACACTGAAATTAATGGGGAAAGTGCGCCACTTAGGAAGATAAAAGGTTTCCGTTTGGAAATCCGATACAGCTAGTATGATTTATTAGGATAACTATATAGTTATCTGGATGTGGCCAGTCTAGGTTTATTTATTAGTAAATAGACAAAACATGAAGGGTGACATTTAGTGTAATTTATAAACTTGACTAAACATAAATAATTTATTATTAATATTAGAGTATATGCGTGCTGCCTTGGTTCTGTCTGCCCCTTCAAGCTTTTTAAGCTGGCTTTAATTAAAATTTAACTCTGTCCGTAAATCGTTTGTCAGAGAGCTGACTGCCTTCACATCACTTCCACCTCCTGTTGGCCCCAGCCAGCTCCAGCTTGAAGCCCCAAAGCCCCTCCCCTTAATACGCACAATGCCTGAGGCCTTAAAACAATTTTTAATTTGTTAAAAATACATTTTTTTTTTTTTTTGGTTTGGTTTGGATGTTGCTGTTCATTTGTTGAGTTGTCGCCTTTGGTTGTTTTTATCGTTGGTGTTGTTGGTCCGCCATGTACTACGTTTAGGGTTAAATGTTAATGAACTTGTTGATTATAAATTTGACTACTTTATTTGCCCAGAAAAAGAAAATAGCCAGCTAATAGATTGGCCATCCTAAAACGGGTTTCAAATCCATTGTTATACGCACTGGGACGCACTTTGGCGATTTTTATTAATTTATATATATAGACTCGAATAACGAGCGTCGAATGAAATGCCAATAAGCTCAGAATGTGGCTTGAAAGATGCGAGAGTCGTAAGAGTTTTTATGACTTCATCTGGCCGGATTTGCATGCCAAAGCGACGACTCGTTTTCGATCAATTAACCCACTCATTTTTAGCTGGTTAATTTCCGTTGCAGGTTGCCGCGTTGCCAGGTTGCCTGGTGGTTGCCAGTTTGCCACCAAAGCTGTAATTTTTTTAATTTGCCACTCGCCGCAAATTGTTTTTCTCAGCTAATTTGTCAATTTGGCGAAGCTTGTTAGCTACTTTCTGCCATTGATGTTTGCTCTTCGTTTGTTAGCTCCAACTTAGGCTTTTGGAGGCGCTAATGAGCCCTAAGTGTTTAATATCTTATTTTATAGTTTAAACAGACATTAATTTGCCCTGTTATTTTTGCAGTTTCCCTTTACTTTTTGCTGGAGTTTTCTCCCGCCAATGTCTGGTGAAAGTCTGTGAGTGTAATCTTTAGATTTCCATCAGGTTTTTGTTGGTGTCCGAAATCCCTTGTTCGACGCCCACTTAATTGGCGATTGGCAGCACAGATTTTCCGGGAAATCGCCCAAGCCGCATTGCATAAGTTAAGAGGATAAAGGCCGAGATCGTCTTAAGACACTTTTGTGTGTTTTCTGTGCGGTTAATCCAATAAAAACCTAAGCAGTCTGGTGTTTACAAACAGACCCAGACATAACTCCTCGCAAATCTGTAAATTCGATTAAACCGCAAAGCATGAAAGTCAGCAAGGACCCAGAACAGGACCAGGATATTCTCTAAGGTTATTAGACACAGACTCAACGAGGGAGGCGCACAGATGTTGTCCAAGGACTCAGGGCGAGGCAAGTGCAGGCGATTTGCAACGGGCCTCTGCATGAGGTCCTTTTTCAG